AACCCCCTGGGGCCGCTGCAGGCTTTGTCAAAACCTAGGCTGCCTGGTGGCCAGCAGTGGACTTTGGGGGGGGCTCAGGTTCTTCGCGCTTTGCGTACCCCAACAGGCACAGGGTTTAGGGTTTAGGGTTTAGGGTTTAGGGTTTAGGGTTTAGGGTTTAGGGTTTAGGGTTTAGGGTTCAGGGTTCAGGGTTTAGGGTTTAGGGCCTGCATAGCTGGCCGAACCGCAGGCAGGTTTTGATGGTGCTGCTCTGGGAAAGAAAGGAGAAAAGGGTTGAGGTAAGCACCCTGTTAAGTCTACATGGCCTGACTCTGCGGCAAGAGCACAGCTTTTCTCACTACGCCCGAGCCGATGGACTCCAAAAGTCTCATGCCTAAACCAGGGTTTGGATTTAGGGGAGGAACTTGGGATGTTCCAAAAAGCAACAACATGAACCAAAAACAAGTCCTCCCCCTAAACCAACCCTAACCCTAAACCCTAAACCCTAAACCCTAAGCCCTAAACCCTAAACCCAAAACCCCTCCCCCGCGCGCCTATTTTCGAAGTTCTCAGATTCTGCTGCCGGTCTTCGTGGTTTCCCCGGTTGAGCCAGACTCGGTTGGGGTACAAGATCCTGGGCGCAGGTGCTGAAGATCTGCGGGATGGGATTTAGGGTTTAGGGTTTAGGGTTTAGGGTTTAGGGTTTAGGGTTTAGGGTTTAGGGTTTAGGGTTTAGGGTTTAGGGTTTAGGGTTTAGGGTTTAGGGTTTAGGGTGATCGGATAGTATCCTTAAGGTTCAGGGCTTGCGGCCTCGGCCGCCTGCGCTCCCTAGGTTGGACCTTCAAAACAAGGCCCCTGAACCCTAGACCCTAAACCCTAAATCCTAAACCCTAAACCCTAAACCCAACCCTGAAGCCTAAACCCTAAACCCCTGAAACCAATAAGGGCACGCATGAACATCCCGAGGCCCGACCGAGATACAGCCGCTAAAACAGGTGGTCGTCTCCGATGTCATGGCTTGGGGTTCAAGGTTTAGGGTTTAGGGCTTAGATTTAGGGTCAGGGTTCAGGGCTTAGGTCTTTTTTGCCGCCCGCTTAGCTGAACTGGACGTGCGTTTAGGGCTTAGGCTTGAGGGTTTGGGGTTTAGGGTTTAGGGCGCAGCCGCTGACACTTGACCAGGCGGGGCACATGCTGATGGAAACCTACAGTAGGGTTCCGGAGCCTGCTGCGGAAACCCTAAATAAACCCTAAACCGTCATGTTACTCTAGGGCTGACTTCGGGGAGCCGCTTTGCTCCCGCAACCCTATACAAGTAATTGCTTAAGAAGCCCAAAAAAAAACAACCAAAACTCTTCCTTATAAGTGCAATCTAGGGATTATTACTTTTTTCTAATATTCTTTTCGGGTTCTTAAGCAAACAGTAGTTTAAGCCCGTTCTTAGCCTCGGACCCCGATACCCGATCAGTCCTAGATGCTTTGTATATCTACTATAGAGGCCTGAATAACTAGAATAAGATTCCGGGGGCGATTATAGCATAACTGTATAGGGACCATGAGGGACTATAGTATAGCTATACAGGGACCGTAAGGGAATATAGGAATACCATTAGTAACTATTCCGTTCCCTGTATCTAGGCTTTCTTGATTCTGGGTCCAAGGAACTTCAGGGAGAGGATCAAGAGCACGACCTGGCGATCATGTTTAGGGTTTAGGGTTTCAGGGTGTCGGGTTTGGCTGCTACGTGGCATGGGGAGCGGCCTTAGTAGTGTTAAGTGTTAAGACTCATGCCAAGGAAAAGCTCGATGAGAAGTTCAACTGTCCGCTCATGAGATGCTAGGGCGGAGGATTTGCGGTTCCGGGTTCAACCAAACATGGGCGGTTTAGTAGTAGGGTTTCCGTATAATAAGGAACCCCCAGAAGGTACCCCTAATTTCGGCAAGCCCCCAATCGGGGTTTGACATGTTCTTCTGGTGTCACCTTGGAAAGCTGAGGCACATTGGGGTTTCTCTAGATTCAAGTTCCCTTGCAAGGGGGATCGCTTCTTCCTGTTTAGGGTTTAGGGTTTAGGGTTTAGGGTTTAGGGTTTAGGGTTTAGGGCTTAGGGGGACTCTACTTTGAACTTCATGGCTTAGGCGTGGGGGTTCTGGGTTTTCGGCGAAGTTTCGCCCCCTTTGCCTCCAGCTGATGCCGACCGCGATCCACCCAGTCGCCATTGAACCTTGATCCAGCTTTTCTAGAAAAGATTTGGGGACCCATGGGTTCTTAGGGTCAAATTAGGGATTAATTAGGGCTCACAGGACTTAGATTTTTTCTAATCCCCCCCCTAGTTTTGGGGCTTCCATCTGTTCGGGTACCCGCTTTGGAACCTCCTATCATAAGGGTGAGTCGTCGTTCGGGCAGCGCCCCTGTTCTACGTAGGAAATTGGCCAAACAGAGGGGGCCCAAAAAGGACATAAGCATAAGCTTCTTAGAAGGATATCCTCCCTTTTGGGCCTTCGTTACAAGGGGGATTGATATGGGACATTTTTTGCTTCTGTGCTTTTGTGGGGACCCTAAAACAAGGTCTTGACGGTTTGGTGTCGAAGGTGAGCGCGCTGGATCCTGGTCGATGGGGGACATCAGGCTTGTGGAACCTCTTAAAACCCTTTTTGCTAAACCCTAAACCCTAAACGCGGTACACGGGATGGACAGGCAAACAGAGCAGTTGCGATGGTATAGGTTTTAAGAGCCTGGGGGAGGCATGCCCTAAACCCTAAACCCTAAACCCTAAACCCTAAACCCTAAACCCTAAACCCTAAACCCTCGCCGAGCTGCACGTAAGACATGGGCTCTTCATCGTTGTCCTTCCAAAGCCCCCACGGTTGTGTCGGGAGGCTAGGAAAGCCATCGGGGAGGAACCTTCAGAAATTTGTTTAGGGTTTTTGCCCCACCCGTTTCGCATGCGTTTACGGGGAAAAGGTCGGTTGTTGAAAAGCCCAAGTTCAGGGCTTAGGGCTTAGGGCTTTGGGCTTAGGGCTTAGGGCTTAGGGTTTAGGGTTTAGGGTTAGGGTTTAGGGTTTAGGGTTTAGGGTTTAGGGTTTAGGGTTTAGGGCTCCGTCCTGTTCGTCGTCATCTGGCCTGTTCGCAACAAGTGTCAGGTCGTAGAGGCATGGAAAGGACAGCAAGGCTTCTCACAACTTGAGGGGAGCATCCCTACACCCTTAACCCTAAACCCTTTTTGCGCCTTGAGTCCGAATCCCGAAGTGCAGCACCCCACTCACCCTGCAGCGCCTTCCATAGAAGTGAAAAAGCAAAAGAAGATCCCGCAGTTGTCCATGAATATCTCCTTCAGGCATTGGGTGTAGGGTTTAGGGTTTAGGGCTTAGGGTTTAGGGTTTGGGATTTAGGGTTTAGGGTTCAACCAACGCCTCAGGTCTCCTTCAGGCGTCGGGAATCTGAGTCTAAGGCTTCGGGGAAGGGCTCGCGCAAATTTAATCCCACACTCCTTTTCGGCGGCTTGCCCCTACCCGAAACCCTGAAAGTCCGCGGACCATCGTGCAGACACCCCCCTAAACCCTAAACCCTAAACCCTAAACCCTAAACCCCTGAAGCCCCTAGCCCTAGTCAGGAACATGCGAAAGCTTCTGGCGGCCATGGCTCCGAAGACTTTCACCGGAGCCGTCACTTCAGAGACAATGGGCCTCAGAGGCCGGCCAAACCCTAAACCCTAAATCCTAAACCCTAAACCCTTAACCCTAGACCCTAAACCCTAAACCCTAAACCCTAAACCCAAAACCCCAAACCCTAAACCCTCTGCCTGCTGCCGGGCGGCTGCGACTTCATCAAGTCCATGGCCACTTGGATAAGCGCTTCAATCTGGCCCCCAGGCGCTCAAGAGATATAGTTCAGGCTTAGGGGTGTTTCCTAAACCCTCATAGCCCTTTTGAACCCGGGCTCTCTGAACCCTAAACCCTAAACCCTAAACCGTAAACCCTAAACCCTAAACCCTAAACCCTAAACCCTAAACCCTAAACCCCAGCCCTAAACCCTAAACCCAAAACTGTAAGACACCCTGCGCCTTGGGGACCTTGAGATGTTTTGGGGGCGTAAGGAAATGTTGGGCCTACGAAGACTTAGGAACCTTGGCGGGTTTTTGTGCCACCCGGCCCAGCACTTTGCGCACACTTGGCGGGTTTAGGGTTTAGGGTTAGGGTTTAGGGTTTAGGGTTTAGGGTTTAGGGTTTTGGGTTTAGGGTTTAGGGTTTAGGGTTTAGCCCCTGATCTACTATGTACTTAAGGACCCCCCCCTCCCCCCAGAAAACGGAATTTGTTCTTCCACATAAGGGTAAAACAGGGAATGTTAATCTTCATTGTTTTGGGGGTTCTTAAGCACATAGTTGTTGTAATGGGTTTGCAGGGTTCGAGGGTTTTGCAGGGTTGCTCGGGTTCTTGGGTTTCGGGGGGCTTTTTTAACTGTGTTTCTTGTGGGGAGGGCGGGGAGTGGGGGGGCCTTTTGAAACCGGACTTGATGAGTGGGGGGGCCTAAACCCTAAACCCTAAACCCTAAACCCTAAACCCTAAACCCTAAACCCTACTAATAAGGACTGGAGTAGCTTTTGTTTTCTGCCTTACTCACCCTACAGGCCAGGGGCTTCCCGCCTTGCCATGACGGAGGCTGGGCTTCGACTTCATCTCGAACTGATGCGTAACAACTTAGGGCTGTTTAGGGTTTAGGGTTTAGGGTTTAGGATATAGGAGCAGACTTGACACAAGACCTTTCATTTTTTCAAAGCCAGCCATATGCTGCGGCCACCAGGCTCATTGCCTACTCCACCGAAAGCTGTGCAACCCAAAACTCACCTCCTCTCTCGCCGCAAGCCCTAAACCCTAAACCCTAAACCCTAAACCCTAAACCCTAAACCCTAAACCCTAAACCTGAAACCCTAAACCCTAAACCCTAAACCCTAAACCCTAAACCCTAACCCTAAACCCTTCTGGTGCGGGAGCTCAGTCCTCCGCCCAACGAGGCGTCTCGCTGACTCTCATTGGTTTTCTCTTGGGATCACCTCGATGTACCTCATATTGCCTGGAATCGTCGTCATGCTCAGCCTACTAATGGCCACGTTAGCCGAGGCTTGCCTTCTGTAGACGACGATGGCGGAGCCTGGATTCACCCAGTGCATGTCGACGATTTCGCCCGCCTGGGACATGTGCGACAAGAGCTGCTCGTCTGTGGTGCCATGGTCGAAGCCGCGGACGAAGACCCGACCCGAGCCCGGGAGGTCTTCTTTTCCCTTTCCTCTACTGAACTTGGGAACCCTAGCAACAATTCAATTTTAGCTTTTCCCTTTCCAGCACTGAACTTGGAGCCCTAGCACAAATTTCAATTTTGGCTGATTCTTAGGAATAAGTAGAGTATCCAAAAAAATAGAAAACTCTTCCCAAGTATCTCTGAGCTTCCCTTGCCTTTGTGGCCGCCTCCAATGGCGAAGGAGTCGGGAATCGGCATCCAGACCCAGCATCCGGCATCTTTGCCCTTGCCACCTATACTGAACTTGGAACCCTAGCCAAAAATATGAATTCTTGCTGTTTCTTAGGAATTAGAGTACCCAAAGCTTAAAGATTATTTCCAAGTACTTTGAAGTTGCCGCCCTTAAAGGAATCGTCGGTTTTCAACCTCTTCGCCGGCTCTTCGTCCTCCTTGACTTCAATGAAGCGCTGGTTGCCATCAATGGTGGTCGCGTTCAAACACTCGACGGCTGCTTTGGCCTCTAAGGGGCTGCTATACTCCACGATGGCCGACCCCTTGTTGATCCAAGATATCTTTGTGATCGTTCCCACCTTAGGCTGTCAGTTTGCAACCCCGCAAGGATCCGAGTGCACGTGACGAGGCGCGACCGCAAACTGCTTGAGGACTGAGGAATACCGAGCGCAAGCAGGTATGCAATTAGGCCAGTCAAGGGTGCCTGAAGGCACAGGCTCTTTCCCCGAGATCCCTCTCCCATCCCTTTGTTTTGACATCATCACATGTTCCCTTGGTGTCTGTCGGTTGCTCCGACTTGCTATGTGGAAAAACAATTGTTCCATGCCTGACAGATTCTTGGATGCCATACACAGCGAAGGAGTGCAAGTTTATTCCCGAAGTATTTCGAGCATTCGGACGAACACTGGTTGGCCGAAATATCTTTCACACTGACTCATACTTGTTGCATCTACAGCCGGGTTTGGGTTGGTGTCGGTCTCGATGATGCCCACATCGGTCGTGTCGTAGCTTTCTGCCTGGCATTGGCAAAAAGGCTTCCTTCTTCTTGCACAGTGATTCACATGCCTTCCTAAACCCATTAAACCCTAAACCCTTTCGGGCAAACCCTAACCCTAAACTTACACCCTAAACCCTACTCCAGGCTGGGCAGAGCATGCTTAAGGTATCCTTGCTTCTTCTGTGTCGGAAGAACCCTAAACCCTAAACCCTAAACCCTAAACCCTAAACCCTAAACCCTAAACCCTAAACCCTAAACCCTAAACCCTAAACCCTAAACCCTAAACGCATTTGCAGCGTCACTGCATCTTCAGAGCTTGAGGCCTTCAGCGGACGGTGTGCCTCACACGACCTGACGTGACAAGGCGGATATGTGTTGTGCCCGATGTGCCTGGGTTTAGGGTTTAGGGTTTAGGGTTTAGGGTTTAGGGTTTAGGGTTTAGGGTTTAGGGTTTAGGGCTAGGGTGGGAAACCGATGCGGCTAGATCTGAGGTTCTGGTTCAGAGCGAATAGGAGCTCTGATTGCGTTTTCTGCGTGCTCGTCAAGCAGGCCTCACCCACCTCACCAGCTCAACATGTAGCAAGTGTCATCAGACCCTGAGTTAATTTGAAAACCGTGTTTCTAAACCAGCACCCGGAAGACCCTAAACCCCAAACCCTACCCTAAGCCCCAAACCCTAAACCCCAAACCCTGTTGCAGTAGCCTCGCCTAGTCTGCCACGACACGTTTTTTTTACAGCCTAAACCCTAAAGCCTAAACCCGAAACCCTAAGCCCTAATCTTTAACCTGAAACCCGAAACCCGAAACCCTAAACCCTAAACCCTAAACTTTGCATGAATCAATTAGTGTCATGCCGCTGGCTCTCTCTCTCTCTCTCTCTCTTCCCCCTCACTGGCCTGTAACTCGGGGAGGCGTGCTTGGCCTCGACAGGGCCTGTCCGGCAGAAGCTGCAGGATTTAGGGCTCAGGGTTTAGGGAGGCATAGGGCTCTTCGGCTTTCACAGCAAGCAGTCTTACAAGGGAGAGCCAGCAGGGTTCCGGCTTGCTCCCTCTCTCGCGCGCGAGCGCTCCTTTTTTGGCAACACGCGTCCAGGCGCGAATCTTTCGACCTGGCGCACCCCAAATGCGCACAATGTCCCAGGCATTGAGCATGGCGGGGAGGCTTTCTGGATTCCGCTAGCACAGGTTCGGATGTGTTCTAGTAGGGTTTAGGGTTTACGGTTTAGGGTTTAGGGTTTAGGGTGATGGTGTTTTGGAACTCGACGGAATTGCTCAGAACAAGCCCCCGAGCATCCCTACATAATATGTGCCACATTGACACATATCAACGAAAATACATTGGCGGACTACTGCGACGCCTTCGCCACACCTTTGCTCGGCTTCAGGCGAACAGTGCAAGGCTATAGGGACTGGATGCGAGTTTCACAGACGCCGTAGCTAAGACACTTTGCACTGGGAAGATGAATCATACTGTTCACTGTTCACCCTACGGCTAGCAGGCCAAACCTTGCTGGCCTTTCTGCTACTTGCTGGGAGCCAAAGCAGCTCCTCGCGTTCATGCGACCACTACCCTCAGTCCACTGACCTGCAGGTCAAGCCGCGGCCGCATGCAACCTGGGCCCCAAGGACCCAGTGCTTGGGCACTTGTAGACCACAGCTTTGTGAAGCGACGGCTCCTCGCCCCGATCCTTGAAAGAAGAGCTGACCGGCGGGGACAGCGGGGAGGTCCTCGCGGGAGCGGGAGTCGAAAAGCCGCTCAGACTCAGACCAGAGAGAGTGCCCAAGCCTGTCGCCGCGGTCGTCGCTGTCCCAAAGCCCATGCTCGGAGTTGGACTGTTCTTCCTGGCAGTGAGGCCATCCACTTTCCCAAGGAGTTCTGACAAAGCCGAGCTGGCACCCGGGACCCGAAGGGTCGATGCGGCCGGATCTGGCGTGCTCCAGGGGCCGGGCCCTGGGGGCCCTGGCAAGGTCTTGAGATCTCTTTCAGTCAGCTGCCGATTCAGGTACTCGATCACCTCCCGATTGGACTTCATGACGTCATGAGCTTCGGCCAGCTTCCGCTTGAGGTCCTCGATGTCCTGGTGTAGCTTCTCCTCCCGAGCCTTTCCCCTTGACAGCTCCTGGTCCTTCTCATCCAAGGCATGCTTCTTGAGCTCCTCACCTTTCTCCAGCTCCAATCTCGTCTTCTCATGCTGCACGAGCTCCGAAGCTTTGAGGCGGAGCTTGGCCTTCGCCTCCTTCGAGGCCTGGTGCAGGTTCTGGATGATTCGGTTGCCTTTGGCAATCTCCTGAGCCGAGAGGTTGAACTTCTCCTCAAGCAGTTGTGCCTGCTTCTTGACGGTGCCTAGACTTTCCTCAAGCATCTTCCGCTCCCTCACAGCCTCATCGATCTGAGCCGCTTGGCTGGCTGCATGCTGCTCGCGCACAGCCAGCTGCTCCTTCGCGGAGGCCAGCTGAACCTGCAGTCCGCTGAGGTCTCGCTCGTGCCGGAACTTGAGCTCTTCCAGATGCTTCAGCTGCTTCCGAAGCTCACTTGTCTCTTGTGAGGCCTCCATCGCCTGGCGCTCAGCCACTTCCAGACGTTCCCGGCAGCTTTGTCCTGTGGCTGCAAGAGACTGCCGTGTTCGCTGCAGCTCCTCAACAGAGCCTTCCGCGCTGTGCGCGCGGTCTAGTGCAGCCAGCAGCGCCTGCTTGTGCTCAGATTCTATTCGGGCCCTCTCCTCTGTGCCAGAGCGCTGTAGCTCGGCGATCGCTCGCACATGCTCTTCCTTGAGTGCTCGGAGTTCCCGTTGATGCGTGGCCTGCAGTGACTCTTCCAAGTGCACCCGCTCATCAGAGACGACGCGTGAGTGGGCTGTTAGCTCGTGCACCTGCTTCTGGCTCTGCGTCAGGGCCTCGGTGTTCGTGGCAAGGCGCTGGCCGAGACTTGCAGCCTCTGCACGAGCAGCACGGAGCTTGAGGGCAAGGTGCTTCTTCACCACCTCATCTGAACCCTGTCGAAGCCGAAGCACAATGTGTGTCAGCTCACGAAAGTGATTCGACTCGACGATGCTGAAGTGGCTCTCACCAGCAGGACTGCATTCGAGGACTGCCAGCATCTTCGAGCTCGATGACAGCCCCTGAACTCCCTGAACCTCTGTTCCGCAGCATCTTCGCAGGAAGAGGGCCAGCTGTTCCGGAAAGGACTGGAAATCGACCAGCAGGCGCTGCTCGGCCCTCAGCGCGTGGTAATCTCCTTCTCCCAGCGCCAAGCTGTGGTAGAACAGCAAGTCGTTCTCGTCCGTGAGCTCGAGCAACAAGTTGCGCGGATGTGCCGGGTTGTCCGGCCGCAGGCACACGGTCAGTTGGGCAACGAACTCGTCCCGACCTTGTGGCTTGATGTGCACAGAGACGACTTCAGCAAATATCTGCACCGAGTCCTCTTCATCCAACTCCAGAGGCCCAGGGCGCATGCCTGGAGCTACGAGGTCACGCCGATGCCATAGCATGTGAAACACCTACTCCCAAAGCAAGGTTGCTCAAATGAATTGCTTCAGGGTTGCTTATGTCATTCTGCAGACTTTCATACGACGTCTGGATTTTCTGCCGAACACCTCTACCGACCTTCTTGCTGCGTGCAGGACTTGTACGCCCAATCCCAACTATCCGCCTCTGAGCGCCGTTTTTGATGCATGGACTGAGAGCGGCGCCAGCATGTTTGAAACAGCTTGCATGTGGTAGCTCAGAAGCTCACTAGAGAAGCTCAAGACACAGCCCACGTTTTTCTTCGGCTGATCATATCATGGATCTCCCCACTGAGCTGCTGTCAGCAGGTCACTGGCGAGCGAGCACGATGTCCAAGCACAGCACCTTAATCGAGCCGCCATCCCTACCTTCTTCGTCGACATAGGAGGGAAGAGCCCACAGGACGTTTTTGCTCGGATCCAGGCTGAGTCGTACAAGATTGGCACGGGCGATTGCCTTCATGATGCGGTTTATCGAGGTTGCCCCAATTCCTCGAATGGTCACCGCTCTTTTCTGGTTGGGGGTTCTCAGGAGAAGAGCCATTGAAAGTATGTTGATTCTGTCTTCGTCTGCCGGTGCCTTCAACACGTCGCGTGTGACATCGGTAAACTCTTGCGGCAGCAAGACCGGGGCCACGTGCAAGCGCATGTTGGCCTTTCCATCATCTCGTATCAGCATCTCCGGGCGAACTGCAACATCTCCACCGAGTCGGGCACTGAGGGGCCCATGCCATGTTCGCAAAAGTTCAGCAACTCTCGTGCCTGTGACAACACCATTCTCTCCAAAGCATTCGACCTGAACTCCACCAAATTGTTGCAACTTGATTGAAGCTGCCCTCGATACGTTGAGAGGGGCGCTGTTCTGCCCAACGATCACAGCAGATTCTGTCTCTCCACCACTGACATTGCCATAAAAGACTTCGGTATCAGCAGGCGCTATGTCAACGTCAAGAGCTTCAGCTTCTGCAACAGCACGGAGAGGAGTCATGCCAATCTGCGCTCGCTGGAGTGGCTGAACGAAGGTGAGTCCAGATCTGCCTGTTGGCCACGTGGGTGCCGCAGCCAAAGCTAGAATCAAGCTGAGGAAGGCTTTCCGCATCGGAGTGCTCTTTTCGCGCATACCGGGCAAATTGCAGAAGCAGCCATGGAACTCTTTCCAGTCTCATATGTCACTTGAGCCGAGGCCATTTCACAAACCCCAAAGGTCATAATTCTCAAGCTTGCCTCGAGGTGAATATGGTGAGCAGCTACGGAATGCTACGGCCTCTCTCAGCAACACCCTAAACCTAAATCCTGAACCCAAAACCCTAAACCCTAAACCCTAAACCCCTCCCAGAAATGACCCAAAGCGGGTCTACACTTTGGGTCAAACCCCGATTCAGGATCCGTACTGCGACTGGCCTCACCAACTCCAGGATGAGGTCGCTGTCAACCTGTAGACCTCCGTAGTTTAGGGTTTAGGGTTTAGGGTTTAGGGTAGGTTTGTAGGGCTTTTGTTTCACTCCCCGCATAGCTGGCCGAACCGCAAAGCAGGGTCTGCGTGTCATCACTGGCAAAAACTCGTACCCAACCGACTCCTCTAGGGTTTTGGGTCCAGGGTTTAGGGGACACATGCCGGATGGATGGCTTCGGCTAGTGACGGCGAGTCTTTCAACCCTAAAAGCGCACGCGATCTCAACACCCGTACGGCTTTACACCTCTACTGCCTCACACTTACTGCTCACCGATCTCCACAACGATCCCATCGCCTGGTTCGGTGCCATTAACAGGGCCCTAGATCCCTCCTACTCAACAGAGCCTGCTCTGGAGTCTTCTGGACATGTCCGTAACACCGAATCAAGTTGAGAAGCACCTATTTGCCTACTCCATACGTTCCGCAATCATGGCACCTATCACTATGCAGCCGAAGATGGATTTACAGCCGCCCAGCGGCTTCGTGATGAACATGCTGAATGGCCGGTTTACCCATGCACGCAATTTGCATGAACAGTAAGCGGCACACGAGGTCTTCAAGTGTGGCGCTGCGCAAATTAAGCAGAGAAAGTGCAACACTTTTTTGCTGGATTCCCTAAACCCTACAACCCGAAAGCCTGAACCCTCTTGCTACCAGACCCGAAAACCTCGCAAAAAGGAAAGCTTGGGCGGCTGCTGGCTGTCGCCAAAGTTGCGGTCCAAGAGCAGGTAGAACATGAAAGCGAGCAAAATGGGTTAGTTTAGGGTTTAGGGTTTAGGGCTTAGGGCTTAGGGCTTAGGGTTTAGGGTTTAGGGTTGTCTGGGCTTGCAAGAAGTTTGGGATTTGGGAGGGCTGTCACACTCGCGCTAGGCAGAGGGCTTAGGGTGGAAAAGGGAGGGTTTTGGCATGCTCCATGTCCACACATTTCTTTGAGATTTCAGAACGAAATCAGACCGCTACCTTGAAGAGACGGAGTGACGAGAACAAAGCAAGCAATGAGAACACTTTCGCAGAAGATAACCCGAGTGGAGTTCGTGGGCGTGTGCGGCGATCATAGCTTCATCACCTTGTGCGCCCTTCTCTACCGTGAGTTTGTAAATCCTGCTTGGATCTGTCTACCCTGTCACAACGAGTCTCAAAGACTTCCACGTTTGTACTCCGACGCGCGCGCACACACACACACACGGCGACATGTGCAGGACAGACAAGCAGATATGGAACCAAACGACACAAGTGCTACAAGTACAAGTGTGCAGGTGTGGCACAGAGCCGCAGTGCAGCTGCAACTGCTCATCTGTGGTGCCGAAGTCGAAGCCCCTCACGAACACTCGGTTCGTGGTACCAGTCGCCGTGAATTGAGCCGGCCGCTTGTTGTTGCTGCTTTTTTGACCGTCCAACTTCACATCAATGTAGCGAGAGTTGCCCGAAATGGTGGTGTTGTTGAGCTGCAGCACGGCCTGCTCCGCTTGCTCTGGAGATGGGTAGGAAACCACCGCTGCGCCCTCACCCTTCATCGCTATCGAGCTCACAGGCCCGACAATACTGCAGTGATCTCGGATCTGCTGCACTGTCGTTCCGAAGTCGAAGCCGCGGACGAACACGGCCGTGTCCTTACTCTCTCTCTCTCTCTCTCTCTCTCTTTCTGTCTCTGTTCATCATTATGCTCTTGCTCTTCCATGCTCATGTGATTGTGTCACGTTTACTCTGCCTTTCGTTTCACACAGGTGCACACTTCTCATGCGCGCACCACACGAAGCAGAATGCTTGGACACGCGCATCAAATCGAGGCATGAACAAAAAGGGCCAAACTAACCCACACAAACCGACAAGCCAACAAACGCGTCACTCTTGTTGCAGGTCTGGCACGGAGCCGCTGCGTGCCTCGAACTGGCCTTCAATTGGTGACGAGGGAGCCTGCCGCCTGTTGCCCCGGTCATCCAACTTCACGTCGATGTAGCGCGAATTTCCTGGGATGATGGTGTTGTTGAGCTGCTGCACGGCCTGGTCAGCTTGCATCGCTGTCCGGTATGACACCACTGCGGCGCCCTTGCCCCACATCTCCAGCGATGTCACAAGGCCGACCATACTGCAGTGCCGCCGGATCTGCTGCTCCGTCGTGCCGAAGTCGAAGCCCCGGACAAACACGGATGTACAGCCTCCTTCCTTGCTGTCTTTCTTCCCTTTTGCTTCTCTCTTTCTCTCTCTCAGGCAAGGCAGCTCCAAGTTTTGTGTCTTTTTTTTCTCTCTCTCTCTCTCTCTCCCCATGTGCCGTGTGTCGCACGCTCTTCCAGGCTACATGCAGGGCTTCTGGAAGGATATGTCACGTTTTGCAAACACCCGCAGGCCGTGCACGCATTGGCCCATGCTACACACCGAATCCTTCAGCTCAATCTGTGGTCAGCTCTACATGGTGGTTTCCGCATTTGGGGGGGTACCTTATTGAGGTCCCTATTTTCAGGAACCCTACTATTTGCGGGTCCACTTTAAAGGGGCCCCTTGTTTTCGCAGACCCCACAGGCGAAAAGGTACCTTCTTCACATGCATGTTCCTGGGAAAAAGGATGCACGTACGTCTCCCAGATTACGTGGCCTTCTGCCTCGGTGTGTGACACACCAACACACACACAAAGATCCCAGGCTGGCAGCATAAACAGCTACAGTGAGTGTGTGAGAGAGAGAGATAGAGAGAGTCAGAGAGTGAGAGAGAGAGAGAAGGATTCTATCGGGGTCGGCACTTTTGGGATTGCCTGCACAATCTTCTGGGGCTGGGCAGGGAACCCCAGGATATTCTGTTGGGGGATCTCTACAGGATTCTCGGGACTCTGGGCCAAGGATTCTTCGTTTCACTCCGCAACTTTCTTCTCATTTAGCAATTCTCTGGGGTGAGTGCACCTTTTTGAAACTGGACTTGATGACTGCCATCGCCCCCAGCACCCACTCCAGTCAACCCTAAATCCTAAACCCTAAACCCAGGAGAGACTGCAGGATTTTCTTGAATTCTCTGGGGTTTGGCACTCCAGGGGCAAATACCCAGGCGAAATTGGAGCATATCTAAGCAAACTCCCACGACTTTGAAGAAAACCAAACGAAACTAAACACGTACACACTTTTTAAGGTTTATAGGGTTTTGTAGGGTTTATAGGGTCTATGGCAGAGTCTATGGGGTTTATAGGGTTGGTTTCTAGGGTTTATAGGTCTTAAGGGGCTTGCAGCATTGCAGGAAGTGGCCTCGAGCTCATCTGCACCGAAGTCCGGCACTGCGGCTGCACCCCTGGTCGGTGTGAATTGAGCCGGCCGCTTGGTACCTCCCCGTCCACCTCGGTCATCCAACTTCACATCAATGTAGCGAGAGTTACCCGGGATGGTGGTGTTGTTGAGCTGCTGCACGGCCTGCTCTGCCTGCTCCGGTGAAGGGTAGGAAACCACTGCCGCGCCCTCACCCTGCATCTCTACCGAGCTCACAGGCCCGACAATACTGCAGTGCGCACGGATCTGCTGCACTGGCGTTCCGAAGTCGAAGCCGCGGACGAACACGGCCGCGTCCTGACTTACTTACTTACTTACTTACGTACTTCCACTCTCTCTCTCTCTCTTTTTTCTCTCTCTCTCTCTCTCTCGATATCTCTCTCTATCTCTCTCTGTCTCTCTCTCTCTCTCTGCATCGTGCGTTTGCTCATACGCGCTTCGTAAATACATTAAGGCATGTGGAACAACAGGGCCAAACCAACAAACACGAGCAGGCAAGCAAACAAACGTGTCACTGCTGTTGCAGCTGTGGCACGGAGCCGCTGCGTGCCTCGAACTGGCCAGCTATTGGTGACGATGGAGCCGACTGCCTGTTGCCCCGGTCATCCAACTTCACGTCGATGTAGCGCGAATTTCCTGGGATGATGGAGTTGTTGAGCTGCTGCACGGCCTGGTCAGCTTGCATCGCTGTCCGGTATGACACCACTGCGGCGCCCTTGCCCCACATCTCCAGCGATATCACAAGGCCGACCATACTGCAGTGCCGCCGGAGCTGCTGCTCCGTCGTTCCGAAGTCGAAGCCCCGGACAAACACGGAATTCATCGTACCCAGGAAGCGGAGGACAGGCCCGGGATTGGTACGAGGAACTGGGCTTGGGCCCTAGAATGCACGACGCAACTTGGAAGGAGGTGAGCTAAGGCCAAAACACTCTGAAAATCCTGCTTTCGAACTCCTCTGAAGACTCCAAGGCCCTCACGCCCGCCACAGAACCCAACTTATAGAGCTACCCAATGCCCCACAACCCCCTCCCCCTTCGTCCCAGTACCCTTTGCCTTGTCTGCATAGCGCCCCTGGGTTCGGCTGAGAGCTCCAGCAAAACAAGGGTGTTGAGTTTCAGGGTTCGTTCTCTCCCCTCCCATCCTCTCTCCCTCCCATCATCCTCTCTTCCTCGCTTCCTCTCTTCCTCTCTTCCTCTCTTCCTCTCTGCCTCTCTGCCTCTCTTCCTCTCTAAACCCCAAACCGACAAGCTTCGACCGTGGCCACCGAATACCCCCGGGGAGCATCATCTCCTTCCAACAGCCAGGCCAGCCTCCAGCAAAATAGCGCTGAGAGGCTGTTTGTTTCTTGTCGGTTCTTACTTGCTGTTGACCTAAACCTTAAACCTGAACCCTAAACCCGAAACCCTGAACCCTAGACTCTAAACCCTATTTACGACTGAAGGCCGACAGACCTAGCAGCATTGAGGACTTGGCCTTTGGGTGACATGCCCGGCTTGCAAGAGTCGCCAAGAAGGGCACAGGGTTTGGGCTTAGGTGTCGCACGAGAGAGAGCACTTCCATCTTTACACACACCCTAAACCCTAAACCCTAAACCCTAAACCCTAAACCCTAAACCCTAAACCCTAAACCCTAAACCCTTGGAGAGGGCTTACACGCTCAGACCCGAAAAAGGGAGGTTTCCCTGAACAAATTGAGTTGGGCATCGTGAAGTAGAATTAGGGCATGTCCGGGTCCGGCATATGAATTCCAGAAAACGCGCACACTGCAAACTCGATCTCTCCAAGGGTTTAGGGTTTAGGGTTTGAAGTTTAGTCGGCTCGTCGATTCGGATTTGTAAAGGGCGATTCTGGGATGCGGGCTTTGATGAGCTCCTAGGACCCTTAGCTTCAGGGATCGCGCGGCGCTTCAAGGATGCTTAGGAGGGCTTAGGGTTTTAGGGTTTTAGGGTTGTAGGGTTTTAGGGTTTTAGGGTTGTAGGGTTTTAGGGTTTATAGGGTTTGTAGGGTTTGCAGGGTTTGTAGGGTTTATAGGGTTCAGGGTTTGGGCCTAGACCTCCTTCCGCCCCCCCCCCCCCCCCCCCCCCGGAAGTCGAAGCCTAACCTGCGCCGTATCCCCAGCCCTGTTGAGCGGGCACAAGTTTGCAGCGCCCAGCTCCACCCCTGCTTGCCAGCAGAGCGACATGCTCGGCTCGTAGTCCATGCCTGGGAAGTGTAAGGGGTGAAAGTTTTGCTGCTTTTCCAGCTGCCCTCCGTCTTGATCTATGCCAGCATCCCAAGACATAGCACGAAGTCCCCCCTCTTCCCAATGATTGGGGAGGAACACTGGAGCTGGGATCCAACACAAACGCAAGCTTCGGGCCTTCCTCCCAAATAGCATGAGATGCACAAACGCAACGTTGCTGACGCATGATGAAAGCTTATGAAGGCCCCCCACCCCCCCCGGCCCGAGAACAGGTGGGCTCCGGGGCTCTCCAACTTAAAGAACCCTAAGCCCTAAGCCCTAAGCCCTAAACCCTAAACCCTAAACACCAGCCATGTCACCCCTCACATGCTTCGTACGCCCTAGAAGCAGCTTTCTGACAGATTCCCACCTCCCATCCCGGCCAACTCTTAGGGTTTAGGGCTTAGGGTTTAGGGTTTAGGGACCCCTAAACCATTCAGCACTTCTGTTTAGGCCACGTATGGTCCCCACAACCCTGTACACCCTCAAGCACATCCGAAACCCCATGCTCCAACCTAGTTCCACCCATCCAAGCCGAATCCAAGTCACTAAAGCTGAACAAAATCTGGAAACCCTACAACCCCTTTAAGCCCATAAACCCTAAACCCGAAGTTTGAAACCCCATAAACCCACATCTGTAACCCCTGAATCCTAAACCCTGCAAGCCCTCATACCCTAAACCCTTTTGACCCCGCACCCTAAACCCTAAACCCTAAACCCTAAACCCTAAACCCTAAACCCTAAACCCCAATGCCGTTGACCGCTTCTGCGCCCCGGTGGCATGGCGAAGAGTTGAGGTCTTTGAAGCGGGACCTCGGAAGGGCGCAGCAGCCTACTTGAAGGTTCATGGTACTTAGTACCCGAGAACTGACCATGGTCTCTGCAACTGGTTTAGGGTTTAGGGTTCAGGGTTTAGGGTGCTCTCCACCTGACCCCCTTCCCACAAAACCACTGGATGTCGTGAATGCTGTCCGCCGAGATAGAGAAAAAGAACGCAACCCGCCCCAAGTGAAAAAGTTGAAGCCCCCAGCCCTAAACCCTTCACCCCTTCTACCCTACCCGTCACCACCAACAAAGACACCCTGACAACCTAAACCCTCAAACCAGAATTGCACACCGTAAAAGCACGAAAGCTTTTCAAGCCCTGCAGTCCCTAAACCCTTCTGAACCCCATGGCTCTCCGAGTCCCTAAACCCTAAACCCTAAACCCTAAACCCGAAACCCTAAACCCTAAAACCCCCCCCAAAAAAGGAGGCTGTCTGGGCTTTCTGGCAGGCACGGGCGAGGACCGAAATGCTCGTCAGCTGGATCCTCTCGAACCTGTCTGCTTTGCACATGTGGGCTTTCATCACTCACACTCGGCCAAGGGTTTTGGGGTTCAAGGGCTTGCTTAGGGTTTTAGGGTTTAGGGTTTTAGGTTTTGGGGCTTGGGGTTTTAGGGTTTTCGGGTTTACGGTTTTGGGTCTTGGGGTCGTGGGGCTTCGTCTGCAAGAGGGCCTGGCCTTGTTTGCAGTGGTACTCGTCTTCCGTTTCCAAGGGCGGTTGGGAGAGTTTGGACCCTGACTCTAGACCCTAGACCCTAAACCCTAAACCCTCGTCCTGCTTGAGTGCACGTGGCTAAACACGAAACCCTTTAGGTGGTGAGGCCGCGAGTCAGCAACCGAAGGTTTAAGAGCGTCTCTTGCGCTTCGTGTTGCGCGGAGCCCCCCTTGATCGGCAGGTCTTCAACCCTACCCCGAAACCATGAACCGAAACTCCCTGATCTCTGGTAGTTTCCTGTTAGAGGCTTAGATCGAAGGTGTCACCGGCAACCCTGGCCCCCAAAAAAGTGCAGTCAGAGTTTCCTAGGCCTTTCAAGCCTGAACCCTAAACCCTAAACCCCCACAGCCCCAAACTCCAACATCACCTCCACCTTTTAAGGAGTCGGGTTGGCAAGGCGCCTCGAAAAACCCACCCAACTTACCTGCACCGGATGTTGCAGTCACCTGCTATGAACACTGCCTCCGGTACTTGGGATTGGCCGCCCTTATGCTAACAGTCCTCAAAGGGATTACTAGTACCCTCTATTACAATCCCTGTTAAGGCCTGTTAGTATAACGGGGGACATCCCAAGCTTTTTCGCATAAGGAGATGTTTGGGCCCTTGGCATATGCGATCTTGGGCTACGGGGGGGGGGGGGCTGAGGGGATCGTGACGCCCTTCGCCCCTTGGGATCCAGAGGATGAGATGGAAAATGGCTGAGCACGGAAGGATCCCAAGAAGTGGTCATTATCGTATTTTCGTATATTTATGTAGGGACCATAAGGGAATACTGGTAGATCTTATGCCGACCCTATATTGCTTGCGAGTTGTGCAGAGACTCGGAGAATGAGACACCGGGAACCAAGCTCCGACTTCCCCCCCACAAGGCCAAGAACCGCTAAACTTCAGGGAGCAGTAGTTCATGACCCCCCTCTTCTTGTGAGGTCGACATGGGGTTTGGAGGGTTTGGGGTTCTTGGGTTTCAACATACTTTAGAATTTTTTCAATATTTTTCACCAACTAAACTCCCGTCCCTTGCGCGCTGCACCTCATTTGCCAGTGCTTGGGCCCAATCATCAAGTACGGCTCCTTGCAGGGGACACGCCGGGCAAGGGCCCTGACCAAGGATCCTCCGGATCCTTGGGGGTTTAGGGTTTAGGGTTTAGGGTTTAGGGTTTAGGGTTTAGGGTTTAGGGTTTAGGGTTTAGGGTTTATGGTTTAGGGTTTAGGGGCCTATTCCGGCTCGGGGGCGTGGTCTTCCAAATAGCTCTAGCTAGGGCTTAGGGATTTTATTGGGGTTGAGGGCCTGGGGTTTGTGATTTGTGTGCGACATCCGTGCGCAGGGGCCATGCTAGGGATTTCGGGTTGAGGGCTGAGGCACAAGGATCCCAACCCGGATGGCTGAAGTATCGAAATGCTGCTTGCCACTCCGTCCGAAGACAAGCTTGCTGGTCTCAAAGCACGACAAGGCCCAAACCGGGCAGTTCGGCAACAGCCAGAATCAGTGTGTTGCTGCAACATCCTAAACCCTAAGCCCTAAGCCCTAAACCCTCAACCCTCAACCCTAACCCCCTAATCCCCTAATCCGCGCCACAGCGGTCACCTTCAGCGTGAGTGAGGATCAGCTCCGCGTCGCAGGTTTTCACGTGCAGGTCCGAGTCCTGCCGAGTTGCGACACATGGTTTAGGGTTTAGGGTTTTGGGTTTTGGGTTTTGGGTTTTGGGTTGGTAGTACCTAGCAACAATAGAAATGAGAGACGTTGACATTCAAACAATAATCATAACAGTCAAAAACAATAATAAGAAGAAGAAGAAGAAGAATGATAATGATAATTATAGTAATACTAATAATAATAATAATACAGAAAATAATAAGGCCAATAATCATAATAGTAGTAAGGCCAGACTCTCAGAAAGAGGCTTAGGGGGTCTGGGCGGCCGGAGCCGGGCGGTGCTTAAGTGCGCCTGGTACCACTGCTAGCAGCTGACCCCTCTGCCCTGTCCTGAGAGCATGATATGTCGACGTGAAAATCATTGGTTTAGGGTTCAGGGTTCAGGGTTTAGGGGGGTTCTTTCCGCCAAAACCGCTGACACTGAGACTCATTGCAAGCTTCGCAGAGGGCGCAGCGGGCGCAGGGCGGAGGAAGCGGACCGCAGCTCCCCCCATCAACCGGCTATCTCTAAACCCTAAACCCTAAGGCCCTAAACCCTAAACCCTAAACCCCCCATTAGTCCACGCGTTGTTACCCAGCTCCCCGGGATCTGCAGAATCCACACTACACCCTAAACCCTAAACCCTATAACCCTAAACCCTGAACCCTCTTCGTGGCCTCCCGTCAAATTCATCCGCCCGACCCTCCTCGGTTGACTGTGTGGCCTGTTCCGTCAGAATGCTGGCTTATGGCGCGCCTTCCGTGGAACCCTACCGCACAGAAGGATTTGGGTACCGTACACAAAATGCAACAACAAGCATGCGCAGAATAGACGTTATGCGTCGCAAGGTGGGGCGGGGGAAGGGCGCGGGGCCATCTCTTGACGAGGTTTCAGGCATGAGTGTGAACATGTGGTCGCACATGTACCACCACCTTGGGCGCCCAAGCATTCCCTTCTCAGTGTAAGGGACCTGAAACCAGGGGTGCTGTCACCCACCAAAACCCTAAACCCTAAACCCTAAACCCTATAAACCCTATTAGACAGGGGTCCGTCCGTCCTTTTCCTTGTTGATGGTGGTGTTGCTTCCCAGCCGCACCGCCCCGAGGACCTCGGCTCCCTTGGAGTCGTCCTGAAAGCTTCTTTGGGGTTCAGGGCTTTGGTGGGTTCGTCGCCCTAAACCCTAAACCCCAAACCCTAAACCCTAGACCCTAAACAAACCCTAAACCTTTGCAAAGGAGGTGCCTGTTCTCAAATGTGCTGTTTTCAGGATCTCGTCGGTAGGGATAGAGGTTGGGGGAGTTCGTCGTTCACGTTCTCGCTGCATTTCCCAGGCTTTCTCCCTTGTGCCCGGCCCCGCCCCCCCCCCCCCCCCCCTCGCTCCCCCCACCGAAAGGCAACCCAGATCCCTGCCTTGTGCCATTGCAGAAGGCCTGGCCCAGAGGTGCAGTGCTTGCAGGATTCTAGGGTTTAGGGTAGTTTTTTCGGTCGTCGAGGGTGAATGGCGTCGTTCTCTATCACTCAGGGGCCTCAGGGATCAAGGGCTCATGAAAAAGAGCAGCTCGGATGTAGCGGTTCTACGTGCATCCTGCCATCCACGTCAGATGCTCGACAGCATCATGCACAGACATGAGAAAGCTAAAACCAAATGTCATTTGTGCGAAGACCTTCTCGTTCCAGAAAGGATTCGGACGCATTCGGGAGTCACGTGAAGTAAGGGATCGAGGTCTTGTGGTTCTCGGGTCTAAGGTTTGAAGCTTTGTTTGGCTTGGGGGGAGGGCGGGGGTTGGGGCAGAGGGAGTACCAACCAACTGCTGCTTGCAAATCTGGCGACATTCCCAAAGTCTCTACCGAACCAGGCAAACGACTTGTACCTTTCAGCGAGCCTACCAGTTAATGGATTCGCCCCGGCCTTTCGAGAGCACGAAGTATCGCCTGACCACAGACAAGGCCACACACCTTTCCTATCTTCGGCGGGGGGTGGTGGGGGGGGGGGTGGGTGGGGGGGGGGGGTGGGGGTGGGGGGGTGGGGGGGGGGGGGGGTGGGGTGGGGGGGGGGGGGGGGGGGGTGGGGGGGTGGGGGGGGTGGGGGGGGTGGGGGGGTGGGGGGTGGGGTGGGGGGGGGGGGGTGGGGGGGGTGGGTGGGGGGGGGTGGTGGGGGGGGGGTTTGGGGGGGGGTGGGGGGGGGGGGGGTGGGGGGGGGGGTGGGGGGGCGGAGGGGTGGGAGGTAAAGCAATTCCGTGTTGTGCAGAGTTGAACCCTGACTTGAAGTGTGACCCGAACTTGGGGCCTCAAGCGTTTAGGGCTTTGCTGCGTGGTACGCCCACCCCAACCCATGAACTTGATAAACCCAAACCCTCCTCCCCCTCACCCTCATCCTCATTAGCCTCCAATGTTAAAATGCCTTCTGTGAGTTTGTTCCTTGTTGTGTTTTTTTGTTTTCGGCTTTGGTTTTTGTTCTTCACCCGCCTGAGGATGGGATTCGGTGATTAGGTTCGGTTTCAGGCTTCTTCGCTGGTGCTTCCCGAGGCCTACCAGAACGTGCGACATCTCTTCATCCACCGCCAGGAGAAAGAAACATGTTCAGGCTTTAGAAGTTGCAATACATAATCTAGGGTACTGCGTTCAGATCTATTCTTTGGCCGGGCGGCTCGTGCGACTGAGCGAGGGCATTGCGAGGCTGCCTCACCAGGTAACCAGTCCTGAGCACAATGGGAACCCCACCTTCCTACTAGTCAGCATTCTTCTTGTAAGCGTGCTGAAAGTATTAGGAGTAATGTTCATAATTTTACATGTTGGACTTACACTTGACTGGAATGCTCAGCCCCCCCCCCCCCCACACCCCCAAACCCGAAAACGCCACAGTCCCCCCTGAACCCCAGGGCCACAAACCGGCAGAGAAACACCGAAGTGCAAGGGGATACAGCCCCTGGGATCCAGGAACAAACCCTAAACCCTAAACCCTAAACCCCAAACCCTAAACCCTAAACCCTAAATCCTAAACCCTAAACACTAACCCTAAACCCCTACAGGTCAGAGCGACCAGAGGAACCCGTAGGGCTTGGCCAAAGGCCTCGTGCCTGCCTTCCCGGAAAGCTGCTGATCTTAAGAGGGCTGAACCTCCTAGGGTTTAGGGTTTAGGGTTCAGGATTTAGGGTTCAGTCCACCTCAACTCATCCAGTTTGGCAACAACCTCCCGAACGTCAAGCTCTCTAGGCCCTCCGCCCCTGTGCCTCAGAGAGGAGCTTTAGGGAACATGGGGAACCCGAAAGTACCAAATTCCAAAAATTCTAAACCCTAAACCCTAAACCCTAAGCCCTAAGCCCTACACCCTAAACCCTAAACCCCAAACCCTAGTGGAACTAAGCTCCCCGCTTTGTCTTCTCAGCCACGCGCTCGGGACCTCGGCTTGAAAAGCTGCTGCCACTTCAACCGCTGCTTCCCGCTCTTGCCGAGGGCAGATCCCATCGAGCCCCAAACCCCTGAACCCTAAGCCCCAAACCCTGAACCCTAAACCCTCTCTCTCTCTCTCTCTCTCTCTCTCTCTCTCTCTCTCTCGCAGACTCGGGAATCCGTCAGCTGCCGTCTGCAGCCCGATAGGCAATGCAAACCCTAAACCCTACAACTGTAAACCTTGCCTGGCGTCCAGACTGCAGGGGACATTGTATTTGCCTGGCATGTGTCCTGCTGTGAGCTGCAAGCATGAAGGGCCCCAAATTGGCGCAGGTTGTTGAAGGACGAAAGAACCCAACTCTGAACCCCCTAAACGCAAGGCCTACTCCCCTCCTACAGTGGGGTGCGTTGTTTTTTTTGCTGGGAGCCTCGCGTGAACCCCCTTCTAGGGCCCCCCTCCCCCCCCGAGTCACTACCATTACCTGCGTGCGGGAACCTCCTCAAAAAACCATGGGATACCCCTCTGGAACCTCCGGCTCTATTCAAGCACGGGACGAAAAAGTGTTTTGTAGGTCTGAATTCAGTTTAGGCTTGTTTTGCCGCTTGAGACGGCGTGGGTGGTATACGTTCGAAGCTAATCTGCGTACCAACCTTCACAGTCTCTGCGCCATATTGCAGCAACCCTAAACCCTAAACCCTAAACCCTAAACCCCTCTGAGAACAAGTCCACCCCTGCACCCCCCGAGGCCCCGGGCGCTTCGGGCTCCAGTCCTGGTCTAAGCCTCGGCTCTCAAGCGCACAACTTACGAGGGTTTAGGGTTTAGGGTTTAGGGTTTAGGGTTTAGGGTTTAGTTTCTTTCTTCTTATTCTATTCTTCTTCTTATTAATATTCATATTATGATTATTACTATTATTAGTATGACTCAAGGTTTGTGTTTTGTGTTGTCTTATTCTATAAGACTATGTATTAGTATATTTATAATTATTATTTTTTATTCTCATTATTATTCTGATGATGATGATGGTGATGATTGTTATGATTATTAGTATTATGATTTTATTGTTATCATTCTGATGATTCTTTCTGCAAGGTTGCATGTGGGATGTTCCCTCGTATGCTAGCAGTCCTCCATTGGGATTCCAGTACCCCTACCATCATCCCCATTCAGGACTGTGGGTATCAGTGGAAACATCCCAAGGTTGCATTCGGAACAGCTATCCCGCAGCTTTGTGGCTTCTTGGCTTCTACATGTCGGATCCCTGTCGTGTGGATTCTTCGCTTCCCGTTTGACTCACGTCGGCTGCTCGAGGCGGCAGATTGGAAAGTCAGAACCATGGCATACATGTATATATAGATATATGTGTGTGTGTGCGCGCGCATGCAATACAACACAATCTATATTGTATCTAATTTCAAACAAAAAAAATATATATATATATATATATGTACATCTGGATGTATATGTGGGTGTGTGTGTGTATATATAGGACACAACGGTCAACAAAAACAACTCAAAACTTGAGCCTGGGATACCCAGAGGTGCCATCAGTCCAGTCTTGTTTCGGGTTTTTTAAGGCCCTGCTTCGATTTTCTCCTTTCAGCAGGAGAAGGCCCAGGACCCTGAACCCTAAACCCTAAACCATGAACTCTAAACCCTCTTGAAAGGCACGTCTTTCAGAGACGATTTCTTCGGACACAGACCTGCAAGGGGGCCAAGTGTCAGCTAGGCGGGTGGCCAAAAAACAACTCAACCCAAAATAATCCTAAACCCAACTTAAACCGAAAAAGACCCTACCCCCCCCCCCCCCCCCCCCCCCCCCCCAAAAAAAAAAAAAAAAAAAAAAAACTTATCGAACCTCGAACGATGCCATCTTCATGTCCACCATGTAGCAAGCTGTCACATGCGTATGCCTGCCCTCTAAGTGTTGAGGGTTTAGGGTTTCGGGCTTACCCTAAACCCTAAACCCATCAAGCCTCGACCCCTCTTCAGCACAGCAAGCTAAACCCTAAACCCTAAACACTAAACCCTAAACCCTAAACCCTAAACCCTAAACCCTGCAGCGAGGGGGCAATCCTGGCCAGCTTCGACTTCGCCCGCAATGATGTCGACCAGCTGCATGGACCGCCGCATGATCTGATTTCAGGGGGCTTCTTAGGGGCTTTAGGGGTTCGGATTTAGGGTTTAGGGTTTAGGGTTTAGGGCTTAAGGTTTAGGGATTCGGATTTAGGGTTTCGGGTTTCGGGTTTAGGGCTTAGTGCTTAGGGTCTAGGGTTTAGGGTTTAGACACGATCTGATTCAGGGGCTTCAGGGGCTTCGAGGGCTTTGGGGAATTGGCACTTGGGAGATCCGCGAATCCTGATGCTTCCCGAAAAGAACTCGAAAAGTGGTGGCCTCCGAACTCAACCCTAAACCCTAAACCCTAAACCCTAAACCCTAAACCCTTAACCCTAAACCCTAAGAAAAGAGGTGGCCTCCGAACTCTAAAAGTCCTAGGACAGCACCCCTCCTACCTCTGAAGGGCCACCTGGCCTTCGGGCCATACTGGGAGGTTCAGGGTTTAGGGTTTAGGGTTGAGGGTTTAGGGTTTAGGATTTAGGGTTTAGGGTTTAGGGTACTCATAACCCACCAATAAGCCGACAAACTTGTCGCCCCTAAACCCTAAATATACCCAAACGGTGGACCCTAGACCTACAGGACCTACACACCCGCTCGTGTCGAGACCCCAGCTAAAGGTCGAAGGCCCTGGGGTCCTTATGGCTCAGACCTTCGGAGGGATTGGAAGCTCCAGCACTTGAAGGTGGGATTGGAAACCCTTGGCCTTAAGCACACATAGGGCTCCGCGATACCCCTAAGCCTACCTTCAGCAAACCTAGCTTACTGCTTGTGGGGTCTTGATTCGTTTGACTCCCATTCTCAAACTGCATAAACACCACCTCACCTTACAGAGCTCAAAGCGACCGTGATTTTCCTTCCCATCAACGCTAAAACCCCCAGTGAAAGCAAAAGCGCTGAATAATTACAGTACACCCCCTGAATCCCTACACCCCCCTAGTGTATTTTCAGGAAACGTCATAAACCCTAAATCCCCCTAATTTCAGTAAACCCATGAACATGTCCCCGAAATCGTCACTGTGCCAGGCCCCAGACCCCTTGCGCCATGTCCTTGGCTACCAAAGCCCGAGATCTTCCGGGACGGAAACCCGGTTTAGGGTTTAGGGTTTAGGGTTTAGGGTTTAGGGGGTTTGGGGGCTTAGGATACAGGGTTTAGGACCCAGAACGTATCCTTCTGCTGCTTGTCAACTTGGGCTTGGAGGTCTGCCTAAACCCTGAAGTTGAATCCCGAAACCCTAAGAGGGTTTAGGGTTTAGGGTTTAGGGTTTAGGGTTTAGGGTTTAGGGTTTAAGGTTTAGGGTCTCTTAGACAGAGGGTGGTGGGCTGACCCGAATTCCCCGAAGCCCTTTCTGTTGCAGCCAGGTCGGTTCAAGTTGCCGCACAGCCCCAAAAGGAACCGAAGACACCGAATACACTAAACCTTAAAATCGAAACCCTAGACACTTTCTTGAAGCGTGGACTGAGGTCGGCGCCAGACCTCCAAGCATCAGCACACCCTCCTAAATCCTAAACCCTGAATCTTAAACCCTCTCTCTCTCTCTCTCTCCCTCTCAGGCGCTCAGTCAATGTCAGGCACAGCCAGCACAAAAGAGGCAATGGCCCGCAACCCTAAACCCTAAACCCTAAAACCCTAAACCCTAAACCTTCAACCCTGAACACTAGACTCCAAGTCTCCAAGCAGAAAGACAAACCTCAGTGCAAATCGCATGCCCTGAGCTTATTTTTAGCTGGAGGACTGCAGAGGCCTTTCGACCACAAACCCCAAAACCTCAAACCCAGTTTAGGGTTAAGAACCCTAAACCCTAAACCCTAAACCCTAAAACCCTAAACCCTAAACCCTAAACCCTAAACCCTAAACCCTAAACCCTAAGGGTTAAGGGCTTAAGGCTTAGTGTTTAGGACTTTTGGTGAGCGATTGGACAGTTCCCTGCTGTTGCTGTGCTCGAGGCGCCACTCTGATTTAGCATCGGCCAGTTTGTAAACTCTTGTCTTTAGGGTTTAGGGTTCAGGGTTTAGGGTCTAGGGTCAGGGTTTAGGGTGCGTTTCTTTGCCCAAGCCTGCATGAATAGTGGACAGGGTTGATGCAAGGGTTTGGGGGCTACTGTTGGCAATCGGACCCAAGCAACTAAACCCTAAACCATCAACCCTCAACATTACAGCCTGAACCCTAAACCCCAAACCCTCAACCCTCAACCCTACACCCTCAACCCCAAGCAACAGTGAAGCAGCTGAGACCGAGTTGCGAAGATCGGATTTGATGAGGCCGGCATGTCTGCGGCATCTCAGTTGGCGAGAAGCGGTCGACATGCTAGCTGCTAGCTGCTTCGAAAAAAAGGCTAGCCTCTCAATTATAGTAGGATTCAAAAAAAATCGTTCCCCTAAACCCTAAACCCTAAACCCCACAAGGTTAGAGGTGACCTACGCAGCTACCAAGGAAGCATCAAACTCCCCACCCTACCCCCCCGATACCCCGAACCGGTTGGTCGCCATATTTGTGGGATGTGCGGGCGCTGGGGTGGTCTCCAAGCCTTCCTGAGCCTTTAAGCGCTAAAACCACCCCCTGTACGCCCTGTACACTCTACACACCACCCTGGATACCCTGCAAACAACATACAACCCTGCAAACCCTGTAAACCCTAAAAACCTCCAACCTCATCCCTAAAAACCTCCAACCTCATCACGTTTAGTTTAGACGGGGAGCGGGGGGGGGACTGCTGCTGTATTTCTGTCGCTAGGGCTGCCGGGCTGCGGGTTTAGGATCCATGTATATGCAAGGACATGCAACGTATGGAACTAACTAAGAGTAACGCCGTCGGCGGGCCTCAGGCTCCCCCGACATCCCTGCAAATGCGCCGGAATGCGACCTCAACTTCTTATTCAGACAGGCAACGCTTGTCGGCACTTCTGCCGGGTAGATGGTAAGGAGTGTCCACATTCCTTGGCTGGTGGCGAGCTTGCGTCAAACCCTAAACCCTAAACCCTAAACCCTAAACCTGAACCCTAAACCCTAAACCCTAAACCCTAAACCCTAAACCCTAAACCCTAAACCCTAAACCCTAAACCCTAAACCCTAAACCCTAAAAAACCCTAAACCCTAAACCTAAACCCTAAACCCTAAACCCGAAACCCTAAACCCTAAACCCTATGAAACCTCTTGATTCTGTCAGCTCACCCACTTCAGACCAACTCAAGACTTCAAGACAAAGAAAATGCTGGTATCCCACCCGAGGTTCATGGTAGCGTCGCTGAAAACCTGGGCAAGATCCACGTCGGAGTTCCTATGCGCCCCTTGGAGAATACTAACCCTAAACCCTAAACCCGAAACCCTAAACCCTAATACTTGAGTAGGGGAGGGGAATCCAGGTTGTGCCCTCGTCTCCCCATTTTGGGGGGAATCTCCTGAACCTCTATAGCGAGAAGTTTTCAGAAATGGAAGGGCCCTGGTGGCCTGAGACGACGGCGGTGACGGCATGGGAATTCAAATTCATCCGACCCTACCCTAAACCCTAAATCTAAACCCTAAACCCTAAACCCTAAACCCTAAACCCTAAATCCTAAACCCTAAATCTAAACCCTAAACCCTAAACTTTTCCGGTTCTTGAACAGCACCCCCCAGAGCGGAGGCCCGCACCGCGTAGCGGCAGTCCTCACCCACGCCGAGGCCCCTGAGTCAGGTTGCGAAGCCCTACCAGGATGGTCCCCTAAAAAGGGTTTCGACTGGGGTTTAGGGTTTTTTTTGGCACCCGACTAGCCACAGCAATGCGGGGTTAATAGGTCGGTCTAGGGTTTAGGGTTTAGGGTTTAGGGTTTGGGGTTTAGGGTTTAGGGTTTAGGGTTTAGGGTTTAGGGTTTAGGCCCACAACATCCCCCTGAGCCAATCGTTTTGCAGCCTTGTTCTGCGCGACCCTGCATGGTCACGGCTCGGGATGCAGGGCTTTAGGGTTCTAACCATAAACCCTAAACCCTAAACCCTAAACCCTAAACCCTAAACCCTAAACGACGCTAGATGGCCATCCAGTCTGTGCATCTCGAGTTTGCGGTCTGGGGCTTATCGCGCTTCTGAAGCACATGGGGGCCCAAACTTGATCGGAAGGTCACGTGACGGGCTGATGCTCCGGCACGTTGCACGCAAACGCCTTTCTGCCTACAGGGAACTGGCCTGAAAAAGTGGCAGAACCCTGAACATCACTCTGACATGGCTCTGTGAGCAGACATGGCTGCCCTAAACCCCGAACTGAACATCAGACAAAGGCAGAGAAAGCTTGAACTCTGCAGCATGCGGAGGTTGATCTGACTAATGAGTACCCTAAACGACAATACAATTGCTAAACCATGATAGGGACTTCGCTCAGATCAGATCAACACCCAGATGTGTGGCAGGCAACCTCTATCGGGGGGGGAGAGAGATAGGCAGGGGGGAGGCTTGAGCGGTACGAACCCTCAGTTGGGGTGGGGGCTCCAAGGATCTTGTAACCTTAACCCCTAAACCCTAAACCCTAAACCCTAAACTTAAAACAAAACTAGGGCCGGCCTCTTGTGCTGATGTCTACGCATGTGTCCATCGCCAGGGGAGACGATGTCGTACGTCGTGCTGATGACGACACCTGTGCTGCGCACGGCTGGTGAAGTGAGCCATGAACTGTAAATCTGGACGCAACGTGGGAAGCCAGATGATCCCAACTGGGTGGAGTATCAGGGGAATCTCGTGCTCCTTGAGCCCGGAACAACACCGATGAGCCTAGCATGATCAAGAAACAGGCCCAGTGCAGCCTAACCAAACCCTAAGGGTCCAGGTACCTCATTATTGTATACTTGGGCCCAAAGTCCCTACATAGGAGATACTTTAAGGCCCAAGTATTCCGTATATATGGACCTAAAGGGTAAGTGAGCGACAGGCCGCGATGCCCTCCACCCGAACAACTGGCAACTGCGTCGGTAAGATGCTGTGCGAGGCGCTTCGCTGGTGCTCCAGCCCGTATGCCTTGAAAACTGACCGCAGGGTCCGCGACCTCGTGCTGCGACTTGGGTCTTGCGCATCCACTATATGGCATCGTTTTAGTTTTTTTGGGCTGGCGGAGCTGTCGGGATTCAGCCGCAATTCATGTCGACCAGACACAAACAGTGAACAACCTCAAGAGGGATCATGTGAGCTAGTCTAGGAAACTTTCTGCGTGCTACTATGAGCACGGCCCCAAGCCGCTGAAATCCGCTCCTCTTTCTTACTCTCCCTTTCATCCGGAGTCCATCCGCCTGTCTCCAACGCCAGCTCTCGCTTGCATTCTTCACCTCTCCCCTGTCCTTCTCCTGTGTCTTCTCTTCTCTCTTTGCTTCTTCTTCTTCTTCTTCTTCTTCTTCTTCTTCTTCTTCTTCTTCTTCTGCCGGGCATGGAGGACAGGGCAGAAGTCCCTGAACCTCCGCGCGCCGGGCGCGCCCTTAATGTCACGGTCTGGTCGGCGTGAAACAAAAGGAGCTTGGAGTCTGCACGTGTTCTAAACACAAGGTGCTTGTTGCCGGAGGGTGTTCCCCTCTCTCTCTCTCTCCTCCCTCCCTCCCAGCCGCAGCCTACATCACAGCAACTGGACTACACTCCAAGCCGCAAGCCCAAAGGCCGTCCAACCCCTAAAACCCCCGTCACATTAGAGTCAGATTTGGTCAGACTACCGATGCCGTCACACGCATCCCAAAAAAAGACACACACACACACACACACACACACGGGTGACCTTATCAAGGCAAAGAGCAAGGTATACTCTACAGAACTGACGGGCCAGACCCTAAACCCTAAACCCTGGACCCTAAACCCTACCCCGTGAGCATCGAAGCTCTCCCAAGATCGGGCCAATCACTGACAAAGTAAGACCCCATCCCCCCAGACCTTGGGCAGTCTCCGTCCTCACCTACCCAGCAACCTCTCTCAGGCTGCACGTTGCAGTATCTCAGTGAAACATGAGGGTTTAGGGTTTTTTTTGCCACCCGTCTAAGGGTTTAGGGTTTCAACCCTAAGAAATATACCCAAAATCATCTCCGGGCTGCGAATGCTGCGACCGCTCGATGACGCAGTTGTCATGCCTTAGGGTTTAGGGTTTAGGTTTTAGGGATCCCAGTCATGGTCCTTTTTTAGGGTTTAGGGCCGGGGCTGGGGGGGAGGGGGGGCATCCCAGCAAATTGGCTAGGGCTGAGGGCATGCTGACCCGAAAACTAAACCTGAAATGGCCCGAAACCCCAAGGGCGAGAACCTGGACATCAACACACTCGCCCCGATGTCTGCAAGATCTGGCGTCCGCAGGCCACACTTGAGGAGGGTTTAGGGTTTCGGGTTTAGCGTGGATGGGCGCAGAGCTCGAGGGGTTCAAGTGCGCTCGCCAAGCAAAAGTAAAAAGAGAGCATTCCCAATCTGCGCGCCAGCTCTTTGTGGAGTGTCGGTTTAGGGTTTAGGGTTTAGGGTTTGGGTGTAGGGTTTAGGGCTTAGGGTTTAGGGTTTAGGGTTTAGGGTTTAGGGTTTAGGGTTGTCGGCGGAGCTCCAAGTGCCCAACTACTTTTTCCAAGGCCGAAACCTTAAACGAAAAGCGAAAAAACCTCAGATTTACCTGTGAACCACAACCCTAAACCCTAATTAAACCCTAAACCCTAAACCCTAAACCCCAAACCCTAAACCCTAAACCCTAAACCCCAAGCAACTCTACGTAGAAGAACATCATCGCCGACGAGGGGGCACACCGCAGTCGAAGCAAACATCGTAGCTGCAGCGTCTGCACATGTACCTGGGCACGATGTGGCGCCACACTCTCCTCCGGCCTCAGGCCCCTTTTCAACTCGCAACGCTGGGTTGAGAAATACCAGGATGGGCTATCAGGCCTTATCATCCCCATGGGGTATAATAGCCCATCCTGGTAAGGTGAAGATCTGCTAAAGGGCCAATTGGCTTTTTGTGGCAGGGTATCCGTTTTGAGGATTTTTTTTTTGGGGGGGGGGGGAGGGGGTTTAGGGTTTAGGGCTTAGGGCTTAGGGTTTAGGCTTGGTCCATCTGCCCTTTTGAGCAATGGACTTTTTGGCTGCCGGCACATGCAACTTCTCAGAAGTCACATCGCGCAATCTGACGCAAAACGCTCCTATTCACCCACGTCACCATGAGTAAGCACGCGCGGATTCAAGGGTCCATATGCCCTAAACCCTAAACCCTAAACCATAACTTCTGAAACCAAATGTAAGATCTTAAAAGGACACGCCGCCGTCTGGCCGCCCGCGGAATGACTTCGTGGCACACCTGCTCTTCCAGGACGTGGGGATTGTGGGTAGGGCGTAGGGTTTAGGGTTTAGGGTTAGGGTATAGTAGGGTTTAGGGATTAGGGTCTAGAGGTTCCCTAGCGCAGAAAAGTACCCTATTTTGCACCCCCCATACTAGGGCAAAATCACAATGGAGAGCAGGGTGAGCTTATCCTTCGGGTCTCCATGATAAGATGCTCGCATCCCATGGTTGTGTTCATCTCACCCTTGCCAGCTGCCTAGCTGACCTGGTCGTGCGGAAGACAGAAGCGACGCTAAAAAAAGGAGGTGGTTCCCCTTTTCAACAGGCTTCTGTCTATCCGGGACCTAAACCCAAAACCCTAAACAAACCCTTTTTGCATCCTAAACAAACCCCAAACCCTAATTAACAGCTTCAAGCCCTGTCGGAAGCCGCAAGCTGCCTTTGTTGCTGTATGTTGGGTTGTGCCTGAAACCCAGCGAGTTCCCAAATGTGGCGGACTGACCCCCGTAAAGCCCCGGGATTAGAACTAGCTTCGGGGGCCCAAGTGGCAGAAGTATGGGGTTTAGGGTTTAGGGTTTAGGGTTTGGGGCTGAGGGATTAGGGTGTAGGGTTTAGAGTCAGTAAGTCAATATGTTGAGTACAGCTGGGTGGTCGTGTTGTCCATCGGCGCAGCATCCGACCCTGCTTGCTCAAGAACTTGCGCCACGTATTGCTCTGGAAGCAACTAGACTGACCTTGTCCCCCCTAATTAAACCCTAAACCCTAAACCCTAAACCCTAAACCCCTAAACCCCTAAACCCTAAACCCTAAACCCTAAACCCTAAACCCTAAACCCTACTTCGCGTCCCTGGGAAACCGTGCCCAGTATAACGCAGCTTCACCCTGCATCCAAGGTTCGGTACAGCGGTGCTTCCTCGCACAGGGCATGTGCGTGAGGTGCAGGGAATGGCCATTGCGGCATTTCATGGCTGGAGCTTCGTCGACCTCAGCTTGCTTAGGGTTTAGGGTTTAGGGTTTAGGGTTTAGGGTTTAGGGTTTAGGGTTTAGGGTTTAGGGCTTAGGGCTTAGGGTTTAGGGTTTAGGGTTTAGGGTTTAGGGTTTAGGGTTTAGGGTTTTAGGGTTTAGGGTTAGGGTTAGGGTTTAGGGGTTTGGGTTTGGGTTGGGGGGGGGGGGGGGGAAGTGTCAGGGTTTAGGGTATGGGGGGGGGGGAGTGGAAGGCTTTGGTTTTGCAGCTTTCGAAATGCTAGGGCATGGGGCGTTACAGGCCTTTCAGACTTGGGGAGTTCAGTGTTCACAGTCTGCACCCGTCCGTGCAGGGTGAAGCCGCAGCAGCACCGACATGGCTCGCTCTGCACTTTTCGCAGCTTGGCATCGACCTGTCACGTCGAGTATTCTAGGGAGCCCTGGGTGGGGAGGTCGGCTCGCCAGGGAGATTGGCGTCTGCGGCACCCTCGGATGTTTCAGCCGGCTCTGCTGCCGGCACTGCCGCCGGAGCCTCCACCGCCAATGCAGCAGCACCAGAAGTCTCGGCAGCAGCTGCCTGTGCTGAGGCATCTTCTGCAGCTGTCTGGACACTGGCCGGCTCTGATTGCTCGGCTGCCGCACCCGTCAGCTGCCCCGAAGCCTCCGCAGCAGTGTCGACTGCTTGTGCTGAGGTATTCTCTGCGTCTGTCTCGACACCTGCAGCTGAAGTATCTGCTGCCAGAACATCTGCAGCTGAAGCCGGTGTGTCAACAGTTGGGGCAGCTCCAGTATCTTCTGTCTCGACAGCTGCTTCTGTTTCGACGCCTGCAGGTGAAGTATCTGCAGCTGAAGCCGGTGTGTCAGCAGTCGGGGCAGCTGCAGTATCTTCTGTGAGCGGAGATGTCTCGACAGCTGCTTCTGTCTCGACGCCTGCAGGTGAAATATCTGCAGCTGAAGCCGGTGTGTCAGCAGTCGGGGCAGCTGCAGTATCTTCTGTGAGCGGAGTTGTCTCGACAGCTGCTTCTGTCTCGACGCCTGCAGGTGAAATATCTGCAGCTGAAGCCGGTGTGTCAGCAGTCGCGGCAGCTGCAGTATCTTCTGTGAGCGGAGCTGTCTCGACAGCTGCTTCTGTCTCGACGCCTGCAGGTGAAATATCTGCAGCTGAAGCCGGTGTGTCAGCAGTCGGGGCAGCTGCAGTATCTTCTGTGAGCGGAGCTGTCTCGACAGCTGCTTCTGTCTCGACGCCTGCAGGTGAAATATCTGCAGCTGAAGCCGGTGTGTCAGCAGTCGGGGCAGCTGCAGTATCTTCTGTGAGCGGAGCTGTCTCGACAGCTGCTTCTGTCTCGACGCCTGCAGGTGAAATATCTGCAGCTGAGGCCGGTGTGTCAGCAGTCGGGGCAGCTGCAGTATCTTCTGTGAGCGGAGTTGTCTCGACAGCTGCTTCTGTCTCGACACCTGCAGCGTCTGGCTGGGAAACTGGCTCAATGGAAACTGGCTCGGAGGCATCTGCTGCAGCGATCGACTCGCTTGCTGCCACGCTGGTGGAAGTTGGCGCAGCGACAGGCGCAGTTGAATTCAGGTCAGTGGATGCTGGCTCAGCAGCGTCAGCGTCGCCGGCAGTCGCCTCTGTGACAGCTGGCTCTGTGGCATTGCCTCCAGCGAGTGCCTGAGCACCTGAAGCATTGCTGGCAGCAGTCTCCACATCTGACCCCGAGGTCAGGGGATCCGAACCCCCCGGCTCGGCCAGCATTCCTGTGTTCTCCTCCCCAGGCTTCTTCTTCATTTTGTTCTCCTCCTTGGCTGCATCTCTGGCAAGTGCGCTGCGGGGTGCTGGCTTCTCCGGTAGGATCAGTGCCAGGGATTCGACGCTCAGAAGGACAACCAGGAGCTTGAACATGGCAGCCATCACATGCCGCGCTTCGTTTGGTCCTAAAGAAAGCTTGGAAGCAATCCTGAGCCAAAAGACACATCCATTGCCCTAAGCCCCCAAAATTTTGAACCAGGAGCTTGGAACCCTAAACCCTAAACCCTAAACCCTAAACCCTAAACCCTCGACCTTAAACCCATTGCACAGAACCGGTCTGCAAAATGACGATGCAGCACTTCTGATGCGCTTCATGAGCCTCCCTTGCGTGTAATGACGGACCTCTGCACACTAAACCCTAAACCCTAAACCCTAAACCCTAAACCCTAAACCCTAAACCCCCCCTCTTCCCCCTCTCTGTTTGGAAATTCCCGCTCATGCCTCACGCCAAGCGACTCAGAGGCCGCCGGCTGGCAAGGAAAGCTGCATAATGGCCCTCTTGGTATTCTTCTAGTCTGTGTGTTGGCATATATACATATATATATATATACATGTATGTCTATATCTATCGTCTATCGAATATCTCTACATATGTACACATATAAAAATACTACATTATATATGTATATATACATATATATGAAAAATAGATTTGTATGTATATATATTTGTATGTCATATGTCTGTTTGTATACGCATACATGCATGTATGTACAGATACATGTCAGAGATTCCTTTATGTATATGAGGCTCTCTTGTCCCAGAGCAGCCAGTGCGTTTCGCGGGGATCTGGGAAAGGCGAGTGCTTCCTACCATCTGTGCTTTACCATGTCATGGGATCGTTCCGTGAAAGGGTTCCTAAAGCCTAAACCCTTAACCCTGAGCCCTGGTGGCGAGTACTTGAACCTACCACGGCTTGGTTTTCCCCAGCGGCTACAGATTGAGCCACGGGAGCTGCGAGCATCTGTTCCATCCTTCTGCTGCACACTTTAGGTTTTGTTTCCACCAACCACCCAGTTTAGGGTAGTTTAGGGTTGCGCCCGTAAAGCGGAGATCTGAAGTGAGCCCTTCTGAGTGGTTAAAAAAGTACAGCAGCGTGATAACAAAATAACCTTCAAATGCGGCCTCGCTCGCGTGCTTCACTCAGCAAGTGGGTGTCGTGCCTCATTCACTGCGTTCCTTCGGCTGCAAACCCATCTTCGCTTATCTTCGCACCCAGACGCCGGCATCTGAATCTGAAAATCCAGCCCTTGCCTCATCATGAACCTTGCTGCAAGGGGCACATGCTTTTGAACTGCGATATGGGAAATGTCTACAGCAAGACCTGATGTCCAGCAGCCAGAAACCTTCAACTCGTGTAAAGCAATGACCTGCTGATCGTTCTGTGGCTATTCTACTGGAGTGTCTCTCGCCATCATACTTGACGCTTGTTGCTCCATTACCAAATCATGGAACAGGAAGACATGCGTTGGAGTGGGATGAGAAAACACCTAGAAATGTCAAATCTATGCGAGGAACAGAAAGCTAGAATCACTAGAAGATGATGGAGGCGACCAATTCTCAGCACAAGCTCTTCAAACGACAGAACTTAATTAATCAACATGTGCTACGAAAAAGACATCATGCAATACAAGATGCATCGCAGCATTTCCTGAGCAATATGCCTGTAGAGCTAGCTATTGTAAGCACAAACGACAAGACAAGAGAGAAGAAAAAATAACTATGTAGTTCTAACGTATAGCCAAGGTGGTCCCCGTTCAGGTTGTAACTCCTTAAACAAAAGGCTCTCTGGTACATCAGCTACCGAGGCGCGGGTAGGTTGAGCATTTCAGGTCTCTGTGTGTGTGTGTCTCTCTCTCTCTCTCTGTGTTTGTGTTTGTGCTCATGGTTGTGTTTGTGTTTGCGTTTGTGTTCCTGTTCATGTTTGTTTGCGCGTGGTTTGGCTTCGGTAGCCCTCAACCCTCTATGGAAGCACGTCGCCTGCCTTTGTTCCCGCGCAGCTTCCAAGACTCTGTCTTAGAAGGAGGGTTGAGGATTTTAGGCGTTGGGGTCCCTAAACCCTAAACCCTAAACCCTAAACCCTAAACCCTAAACCCTAAACCCTAAACCCTAAACCCTAAACCCTAAACCCTAAACCCTAAAACCCTAAACCCTAAACCCTAAACCTAAACCCTAAAGGGCCCCTTCCAGAAACCGTCAGAGCTCCTCCCGCATGGAGCTGGTGCGGAGCCTTGAACGAACCACGTTTAGACCCTTCAGTAAAAACTCAAAAGTTGGAACATCATTATCCTCATACCTCAAGAGGGTTGCTAAAGGGAATGCCAGCACTAATCGTCCTTAAACCATGTTCCAACTTTATGGAGTTTACTGCAACCACAAGGAGGAGGAGGAGAAATCAGGATAGTCCGTTTTGAGTACCCGCAAGGGCCTGTGAATCAGATCAACTTCCATCCAGGGAAAGGCATATGCTGCCGAAACCGCTGACCTCAATTTCCCTAAGCCCTAGGCCCTAAACCCTAAACCCTCAACCCTCAACCCCAAACCCTAAACGAAATTCCCTCTTGCCTTAGCAAACAACCATGCTTCCCATCGCAACACCCCTGTGCCCGCATCCTGCAGCCTAAGTCCCGCCTGTTGCATCTAAACTAGTACTCCGAAGATGCCCCCGACGCTCCAGAATCCGGGTTTTCGGGTTTCGGGTTTAGGGTTTAGGGCTGAGGGTTTAGCATTTAGGGTTTTAGGGTTTCGGGGCTGGATTCTAGAGGGGGCATGTTGAAATTCACTAGACAGGAATATGTTATAACTTGACACATAAAATGTGAGATTTCATTTAGTTCATAATCTCTTTATATTCCATGATGTGGCCAGGTGGCCAAACGTTTGCAGCCCATTTTTCGCCGGCGCGCGTTGGGCAGCCAGCGTGGATGCTGGGCCAATAAAACCGGTTGATGTTTCCTTCAGGGGACCTAAACTCCTACACTTGACCATGCGTTCCGAAAGCAAAATGCATGGACAATGTGAACGGTTTTGCCCAGCTCCAACAAACAAGCCCCACAATACCAACATGCTCGAGCTTCAGCCCATCACTCCAATTATTGTATCTCTTACATCCGTCTGCCCCGTCAGAACACCGCTCACATTCTCCCATACAGTTGAACCGTCGATTTCCCTGGCACTCCTTCTGCATCCACCTCCATGT